TTCAATGTCTATTGATGGATCCATCTTAAAAATGCTAAGGTTCAAGATCTTGGTCTTTCTAGGACCCTGATTCAGGATAACAGCAAGATCACAACATAAAAGAAACATCATAGTAACTTACACATGCTAATGATCTAGTTAGAAAAAAAATCAGAACAGAAAAGGTCTTCGCCTGTTCTACAGGTATAAAGGAGCCTCTCCTTTCAACATTGAAGCATAATGTTAGTTTCTGAGTTGTGCTAAAAATAATGTTTCCATAAAGTTTGCTAGTTCATGACCTAAATTACATCCTCAAATTTAGCACTTTAAAGTGTTCCAAGTAGCACAGCTATCAGGATGCCTTATAAAATATGAGGTCAGACAACTCAATACCAATGAACCTCTACCTTATAATTTTTTTTAACTTAAAGAATAATGCAGAAGCAATTACCTATGAAACAAATATACTGCAATTAAAACTGAGGACTAGAACTCTACCCTTGGCTTCTCAACTGACTCATTAAGTGACCTTGGGACAAACATTTAACAACAACCTTCAATAAAAGGACAAAAATCAAAATAGTACATAGTTGAAACACTTTTGGATCTTTCTTTAAAAATGCATTATACAACATTAGTTTTCTTGAAAGAAATAATACTTTATGATTAAAAGTGCAAGTGACCACACTGATCTATGGGATCAATCCAAATGCCTCACTTTTCCTCCACTAAATTTACCACCTTCAGAGCTGTATGGCCCCTTTCCAATTCTATAGTGGTAGAAGAGAGGGCAAAGGATACTAACAATCACACAATTTTTAAAATGTTTCTAATTGATTGCTGGTATCATTGTATCAATCTCCACATTCTCATAATAAACAAAACCCAAGGAAAATGCAGCTAAATGGAAGGACAGATCCAGGTTCTTCTCCGAGAGATAAATAACAAGAGTTGACCAGAAGTGGTTTTATCCTGTACCCAAAGATAACAAGAAACATCAGTTCACTGGTCATATTTGGTTACCTCATTTTGCAGTGCTCATGATTAAATATCTGCAAAATGACCACTATGAAAATAACAGCAGTTTAAACACCACCATCTGTTAATAGAAGATGAAGGGATGGAGAAATTGTATGCAGACCTCAATGAGATCCTCCATATTAAATCAACATACACTCTGAAACTTGGTGAGAAGAAGTGAGTATGGCAAGAAAAACACTGAAAAACATGGATTAGTAATGAGAAAGCCAAAGATTTGTAAACGGAAAATAATTTACTCCTTTATAATTTGAATATGTTCTTGAAGGAAAGAATCAAAAAGCACTAAACATGAAGAATATCAAATAACAGCATCCACAAAAAGGAAACTGATTATATTTTGCAGAAAATAATTTGCTATTGAGGGTTATTCCTAAATCAACTATCTAAACAATCTAAACATCGAAATCTCAAGATTCATATAAAAAATTCCAGTACAATTAAAAATTGTGGATGGTTTCTAAAAAGTTTGCTAATAATCACATATGACATAATTATTTCCCTTACTCTACTGAAAAAACTTTCTATTCTCTGGCATTCAAAAGACATACCTTTTACCATGGATCTCTACATTCTCAGGGATGGAAGAAAGCTATATAAAGAGACCGAAACAATTAGAATACTTTAGAAGTGAGTGATCAGAAAAGAAGGCATCAAAAACCTCCCAAGGGCAATAATGTATAGATTCTACCACCCTCCAAATGAAGATTATGGAAGATGGACAATCTACAGTTTGCTAGGACACTCATAAAAACTGCAAAACAAGGTAATTCTCATTTGTAAATGTGTTAATTTTTTTCCCCTATTTCTTCTCAAATATATTAACTACATAGAAAAAGCTACAGCCATTTATTAGAAATGGTCCAGATTGCAAGAAGACCACCATTTTTAGGTTTCAGTTTAGTTTGAGTTTGGGGTTCTTTTTTTTGCTTGTTTTTAAAAAGAGAGAAGAAGGGAAGAAGAGAGAATGAATGTGTTAATGTAACCACAAAGTAATAACAGGATACAACAGGGTTCTGGGCATCCAAAGGGGCCAATCACAGTATGAGCACAGCTGAATTCGATCCTAGTCCCAGCACGTCCCTACTAAGAAGAATAAAACCCTTATCTTGTTCAACCATGTGTCGCCTGCCACAAACTGCAAAACAGCAACGCCCAAAGCCAGCCAGTCTGATTTTAGCTAAGGACAGACAGACTGTGCAGTCAGAAGCACCACAATGAAAGAACACAGACTCACACACAGCTGGCCTGGGTGATTTTGCACACACTACAAAACATACCGTACTGTACTTCCAATGTGAAAAGACCATAACGAGGTCCACCAGTACTGTCAGTTGGCCAATCACTGCATACTTAGCTGTCAGACATCAACTATATCATCAGCACTAGTTTGGAGTGGAATAGTGGGAAGGAGGCCACAGTGGGTGGTGCCTACAGAAAGCTGGGAAGTATTCCCTACTCACGACTTTAAGGATCCTTGGCACAGAAGCAACACTAAACCAGTACTTCCAGATTTTATTCCCAACACATTCAAATCAGTACTACAAGTCAGATTAAATCAAAGTTGTGCACAGTTATAACAGAACAACAATTTACACTATGATCCTGGCTAATAATTAGGGAAACTATAACACCTGCAATCAATAGAAAGCAGTGAAAAAAAGTATGGAGAAAATTTATAACACAAATACCTAAGAAACAAGTATTCATACTGCCTGGTTAAATTGCCTACATTTTGTCCTCTGAAACTTAGAAGAATCTCTCTAAAAATTTTGTCACATTATGCCGAAAATCAGTTAGCACTGTGAACTATCTAGAGAAATTCACTCTCGAAACAAACTTTACTATCAGCAACTAAAACAAAACACAGACGCTTTAAAGTTACACTTTCCCTGACTTGCAACTTAGTCTACTGCCTGCAAGAATCATGTCCTTTACCTAGATGACAAAGAAAACATATGTCTAAAACTGAAAACAGATAGGGAAAAATAATCCCCAATAATAACACTCAAAAAAGATCACTGGTGATTTTTGTGTGGCATGAGTTGGTGGCCTTAAGCTCCATTTCTACAGAATTAAACAGCAACAGGAAGTAAAAATACTACTAACACATTTGTTTCTAAAGGGGTTTTTCTCTCTAATGGCTCAACAGAAAAGGCAAGAGTTGAATGAGCCAGAAAAACAATTACCCACTCACCCCCTGAAAGTGATTCTTAGAAGCAAAATACCCTGAAAGAAAGGGGAGTAAAGCAAATTTAGGCAGTACAAGATAAATATGGTAGCTGTTCAAAGGAGACAGGAAAAAAATATTTCATAGACAATAAAATCTCATTTGAAAAAACTTATACACTTTAAAAGAACATATGTAGAGTTTTAAAATGTCAGTGGAATGCTTTAGGTGAGTGTGCATGTGACTGTGGAAAGCATCAACAGGAAGAGGAAGTGCAACTTCTGTCTCTGGAGGAGCTGTTTTGGTATGATAATGGATTTCAGCCCTTTTTTAATCAACAAATGAGTCCAGCAATTGGGTGTAACTCTTATAAAGTAATTTAAACACTTTTTGCCACAGTCCTATTGTTCTACCATACAACAAAGAAGTTTAAAAACAAATAGGCTTTTCTAAATCTGATGCTTCTTTTATTAAACTTCAATTTTAGTTCCTCCCTCCACTTTCTGGAGTGGTGTTAAGAGATTTTCTGACTTCAAATTAGAATTTTGGTCCAGAACACAGAAAGAAAAATATGAAGATGGCATATGGAACACAAATATACAACATTGTTGTATAATAGTGTGAAAGGAATCCAAAGTAATAATGAAAGTGATATATGGAAAAAAACACTGTAAAAATGAATATGCTTAATTTTACAGCATCATATTTAAAAGTTTAATTCTCAAGGGTTCAGAGTACCTAACCTAAAAGCATTTGCTGACTTATTAACTCAGAAATGATCCATCTAATCTAACTGCTAATAAAGACGAATCCATACACTAGCTAGCATGTCAAACACTACATAATTCCTTTACTGCTTAAGATATTCTTTTAAACTACATTTTCCTGGGAAATATAACAATCAGAAATCATGAAACTATAACATATATGGAATGTATACATAACATAAATAAATATAACATATATGGAAATATAACAATCAGAAAGTTTTTTTTTAATCTCCATCCAGATGCTTTACACCAACTCCAACAAGATACAGAGTTCCATTCGTCTGTCGAGATACTATTTAACAATTTAAAACTAGACAAGACAACATTTAAAAAAGACCAAGATAAGGATAGAGTGCCGGGCCTGAAGACAGAAGTCTCATTTTCCTGAGTTCAAATGTGGCCTCAGACACCTCCTAGTTGTGTGACCCTGGGCAAGTCACTTAACCCTGTTTGCCTCAGTTCCTCATCTGTAAAAAGAGCTGGAGAAGGAAGTGGCAAACCACTCCAGTTATCTTCGCCAAGAAAACCCTAAATGGAGTCAGGAAGAGTCAGACACGACTGAAACGACTGAATAACAAAAAAGTTCACTAGTCCCAAGTTCCCTTTAAAAGAGACCAAGATCACACTGGCCACAACGTAGCTCTCTTTCAGGAATAATCAAAATATAAAACTGCCCACACGATTGGGTGATTGATGTTGCCCCGGTATCCAGCAGATGTGAGGCACTGACCTTCACCCAAAGTGACCTCTCTCGGGGGGCTTGTGGTAAAGAATCTCATTAGTGCCAAAACAACCCCAACCTTAATTTTACCTCCGTGTCTCCCTGAGAATCAGAAGAGCTTAGCTTCACTTTGAAAACTGAAGGTGTGCATTTTATGTCACATTTCCCAAATGAATCCGGTGGGTGATTCGGCTGCAGCTCGGGTACATTTATAAAGATCCGAACCCAACTCTCCCCCGGACCTGTCAACCTCAGTGGGGCTGGAGCTCATGGAAGTCGCCCACTACCAAAGACTAACCAATAAAAGGAGTTTCATACTGACCTGTCCGTGATAGTAGACTGTGTGCCACTCATTGGGGCCCTTGGCGAGAGGTCGTCTTTCTATCCAACTTGCATTTTACAACAACATCCCAGTCCCCACCCCACCCCCAGCAAGCGCTGCTCCGAGAGGGACGCACAAGTCCGACTCCAAACTCCGGCCAGTCATAGGGCATCCACTGGGGGGGAGGGGGGTGGTCGAGAGGGGTTCTCCGGGGAGAAAGATTCGGGGGGTTGTGGGGGACAAGTTCCAGGCCCGCCAGGGAATCCTTAGGACGGGCAAAGGGAGAAGGCTCGCGTCTCGGCGGGGCGGCTGGCTCCCCGTCCTTCGGGCAGCGGCCGGGAGCCCCGCTCCTCCTGCTCCTCCTCTTCCTCTCGGGGCTCGGGGGCCGCGGCCGGGCTGGGGCCCTCTCGGCTCTATCTGGGGCTGCGGGCGAGTCGTCGCTGCTGCTGCTGCGGCCGCCGCTGCTGCTGCAGCCTCTTCCCGTGGGTCCGTCCCGCGCCGGCTTCGCTCAGCTCCGCAGGCTTCTGCTCCTCCATGTCCCCCGGGGCGGGGTCCCCTCCCGTCCCGTCCGCCCGGGGGGAGGGCTGTCCCGGCGGCGGCGGCTGGGGCAGGGGCAGGGGCAGGGGCGCGGGCACTCGCTGAGTCAGTCCGAAGGGGGAGGAGGAGGAGGTGGGGGCTGAGGTCTCTCAGCGCCGCGGGCCGCGGCTACCCATCCCCTGGGAACTGGCTCGGGCTTCTTCCGCACTCCGCCGCGGCTCCTCCCCGGAGAGGGGCCTGTCCCGGCTCGGCCTGCAGGGAGCGGCGGCGGCGGCGGCAGGGACTCCCCTCAGGGCCGGTTCGCCGGGTCCCTCGGGGCTTCCTCGGGAGCGCGCTTGGGACAGAGAAGGAGGGGAGCGGGGAATGCGTCGGACGCCCAAGGTAAAGCGGCACGCCGGGGGGCGGGGGGGAGGGGGTCGCGATGATTCCAGCCGCGCGCACGGGTTCCGGTTCCGGTTCTGTCCTTCCCAGCCCTAAGCTCGTTCTCCCACACTCGCTCTCCTCCCCCGCCCTACTTTTCTCTCTCTTTTGCTTTTTTTCCGGCCTCCTCTCTTACTTCTAGAAACCGCCTCACTCCGGATTCCTCCGCGCGGTGCACACATCCAAGGGCTCAGCCGCCGCTGCCCGCCTCCTCCGCGCGCTCGTCCCGGATCCTGGAGCCTTCCCTGCAGGCAGCGTTGTGGAGAGGGAAAGGAAAAGTAGTGCTGCGGAGGGGCGACCAGGCTTCACCTCTGCGCCTTGTAAGGAGGCTGCGCTTTGGGGTACTATGCGGACACCAGAGGAGCTAATAATTACGTGGGACTCACGTCAATAATCCTTTTTCCCTGACTTTATGTTGTAACTTGGAATTAGAGGATTAAATCTCAGCAGTGGCTCGTGAAGCAAGGCACTAAGGCCTTCAGTGCCACTAGTAGCCTCATCTGTAAAATGGGGGTTAAGAGTAGGTTGGTGTTGTACACAAGATTTGACCCAAGTTCATCCAACTTTACGATCCCTCAGGTGAATGGTGTTTCACCACTGCCTCTCATTTTCACACATATATCCCGAAGAGCTGTGGTGCCTACTCTCTCATAGTCTACTCTGTGTATGTGTGAGAGAGAGAGAGAGAAACCTAGTTTGCAAGGCTCAGCTGTCAATGCCAAGCAATGAAAAAAAAGATGGAGAGGGAGGGAGAAAAAGAGAAAGACCTATCTTGCAAGGCTCAGTTGTTAATGTGAAAGAAAGAAGAAAGAAAGAAACCTACTATGCCAGGCTGTCAATGCCCCGGCTCCACCTGGCAAAGGGACCCTCCTAAGGGAAGCCTCCTGGTGGGCTTGAGAACAGACTTGGAACCCTCCATTGGGACAAAAGCTTCCCCACCTGTGCCAGGAGGGTGTGCTTGGGTGCTCAATCCCCATGTCTAAGGATAATGGGGATCGTTGGAGGGCTTCTTAGGCAAAGAAGAAAAAAAGCAAAGGGTTATTATATCTCCTGGCTAGGAGATGTAATAGCTGTGTAACCTTGGGCAAGTCACTTCACTTCTCGATCTCTGTTTTCTGATCTCTCAGGTCCCTTCCAGCTGTATATTTTGTAATTTCTTGTTATGTTACCTTTAGCCTGTTTCTGCCTTGAAAAATAGGGTGTGTTATTTGAAGTCACTGAAGAGAACATGCTATGCTGTTTTCTCTACAGGCCTTCATAGCTGTTTGTGGAAGGAAAAGAAAAGGCATTTTCCGGTATTTTGATCAAAGGGAATCTATATAGAAAATATTTTCTCTGGAGGTTTTTCCACATATTTCACTGTTATCTACTTATTAATGATATAAAGGTCAACATTTTAGGAATCTGAACCCAATATATCAATGTTCTACAAGTCTTCATGTCCAGGTATTAAATACCTTGGCTGTTGCTTTTTCTAGAAATCCATCTTTCCCCTTGAATTCCTACCGAAATAGACACCCATATGCCACCCCTCTCCTTCTGCCCACCTATCCTCTGGGCAGTAATGGCATCCCCCACATCCCTATTAGAGTATTTTGTTGATATTTCCCTATACACATTATCAGAGGATCATAGGTTTAGGGCTGGAAGGGATTCTAGAGATCATCTACTCCAATCTCCTCATTTTGGAGGTGAGGAAAAAGAGGACAAGAAAGGTAACTTTCCCAAGGTAAGGCAGGCATTAAGTGCCAGAGCTGGGATTTGAAGCCCACTTTCCACTGAACCACTTAACATGTATTTTTTATTATTGTTATATGTGTATATGTCATATTTCCCTTCTAGATTGTAAGTCCCATGAGGACAGGGACAGTCTTATCTAAACTGTATCTCCCTCAACACAAGATTCTACACATAGTAAGGGCTTAATAAATTGTTGCCAATTTTGACATGCTTAACCTACTCTGAATAACTTTGTTCAATGTGTCATTTTCAGAGTCTTGATGGCTTAATAATTTCAGCTGTTTGGTGAAAATTGCAATTTATCAGAATTCAATAGTTTTAGTTAAAATAATTCCATTTCAACATTGCTTTCTATGAATATCATTCTGCAAGAAGGATCACATCCCTGAATGCTCTTTGTGCTTAAGGTAAGGGTGACGTAGCACAGGGAAAAAATAAAAAGAGTCCAAAGGTGACTCTAGCTGCTTGATTTCTGAGATCAGTGAAGAGCCAGCTAATTTTGTAATGTTTATTTTTGTAAAGAAACAGATTGAGTGATACAGGTCACTTCAGTCTTAATGATGTCAGCAGGATATATTGCCACCTGCTGGAATATCCTAATATGACACAACTACATCCTAAGAACTGTCCAGGCAAATTGCAATTTAAAAAAATAAAAATTATCGAACAGCTAGAGATCCAGCCATTTCAATAAGCCTTGGCCAAGATCCGAATCTGGTCCACAAACTCAACAAATGTATTCTGTATAATCATGCAGACTTGCATCCAATGATGGACTAACTGTGTCTTCCTTTGACATAATCCTTTTGTTAGTCATATTCATTCCAGTGATTCATCAAATGTTGCATTGTAAAGATGGGTTCTCCTCTTCTCTTTGGGATCCTAAAGGTCCTTTTTTCTATACAATATTTCTGGGAAAACTGTTCTCAACTTAGCTATCCAACTGTGAACAAAGAATAAAAATACTGCTAAAACTGGAAGTATCCTTAGAGATAGCCTAGCCCCCTCATTTCACAAGTAGGGAAACAAGGAGATGTAAAAGATGAAGTGACTTGTCTAAAGTCGCACAAAAAATTAGTGGCAGAAACAAGACTAAAAGTCAGCTCTCCTGACCCCCAGGACAGTGCTTTCCAGTTGCTTTCTCCCTCAGGAATTTGGTAGTGGAAAATGGTAGGTAGTGGTAATAAAATTATTTAAGATGGGAATATTCACTGAAATACTACAAAGTCAGCCTCTCCTCCCCCAGTTCTCTAAAGAATAGTAATTTTTTCGGAGCCACCTGTAGGTTATGGAATCACAGAATTCAGTTGGAAGGGACCTCCGAAGCCTCATGAAAAAGAATCCCCACTATAATACCCTCCACGAGAGATCACCCAGCCCTTGCTTGAAGACCTCTGATGAAAGGAAACCCCCTACTTCCTGAGATAGCCCATTCTACTTTTGGATAGCTATGATTGTTAGGAAGTTGTTTGTTGTTTTGAGTTATTTTTTTCTTACATCAAACCTAAATTTGATTCTTTGCAATTTCCACCCATTGTTATTGGTTCTTTCCTCTTGGGCCAAACAGAACGAGACTAATGTCTTCCACATTCCTCCTTTCAAATACTTGGAAATAGCTATCTCATCTCCCCTGAAAAGTTTAAAAGGCAAAGAGATAGCTCCACTTAAGATCATGAATTTACAACTGGAAGGGAAAATAAAGATTATTTAGTCCAACCTCTTCATTTTTTTTTCAACCTCTTCATTTTAGAGACAAGGAAAGAGTAACCAAAGAAGTCAAGTGACTTGCTCAAGGTAGTGACAGGCTGTGCCAGGATTCAAACCCAGATCCTCTGCAGCACTCTTTCTGCTGCACTATGTTGCCTAACACTTGATTTAAAAAAAAAATAAAAAGATAAAACTTGATTAAAAGGATGATTTTAGAACCAAATAAACTTGTATCCTTGACATATTCCAGGCCCAAAAGAAATATACTGATTTCCACATTGGGAAATGACTCTAATGATCTGACATTAACAGGACATGTGTTTGGGCTGTTCTTTCAGTGGTGATGGTGCTTTTGCACTGAGCTTTATAGCACATTCTCAGCTGGCTCCCCTTGTGACCAACAGTGCAAATATTCGACTCAGCTGGCTAAGGGCTTGGGGTACAGACTGTGACCAAGGAACACGTGCAAAGTTAAGTGGTCTCTGCCTAAGGGAATCAATCCTCCACCTTATAAGACCTTGCTTGCTTAACCCCTGACCTCACAAGGTCAACCTAGGTGAGTCTAAAAGGGAATGCCTCTAGGCTTAAGGAAAATCAGACTGAAGACTTAATATATGTATAAGTACTTCTTCTCTTTTCTATTTTTTTTTTGTAGTTAGGTTTTCATGGGAACTTATATACATGGGGGAGCTTTTTAGGTGAGGATATGTCACACAGATTACTACACTAACCCCCTAACTGGACTTATAGTTCCTATTCCCTTCTCCAAGGCATCTTCCACATAGCTGTCAAACTAATATTCCTAAAACAGATCTAATTATGAAACTGCCCTACTCAAAAAATCTTCAGTGGTTTCCTGTACCCTCTAGGATAAAATACAAAATCTTCAGCAAGGAATTTAAAAGCCTCCATGCTGTCTCTCACCTACCAGTCTTACTCCCCTACCCTGATAACTATTCCCTATCCATAGCATTCCTTCATCTTGCCTCCATGTTATTAAATGAGTAGTTCACCATGTTTAGAATGCACTCTTTCACCTTTCCAATAGATTCCCAATCTTCCTTCAATACATAGCTCATGGGCTATCTCTAACTCCAGGCCTTTCCCACCCCACCCCAACCCTTACTGATGTTAGAGGTCTCTTCCTATTGAGATCACTACATACTTTGTACTTGTCTGCTTACTTGTTGTGTCTCTCAGCACCCAACACAGTCCCTTGTGGGCAGTAGACACTTAACATCTGTTGAATCGAACTGAATATTGACTGTATGCAGCTAGCTATCCTGTTATTTTTGCCAAGAGATAAGAAGTCTCTCTATGAAGCCTTAAGACATTGATTCTACTTCTACCTCAGATGCATACTAATTCTGTGAAAATGGGTAAATTTTAAAAAAGGGTAAATTCTATAATGTCACTGGGTCCAGGCAACTCTCTCAGTCCATAATTTATAGCTCAATTTTGTATCTCAATTAGTAAAGGGAGTTTCCACACCAGGAATTATTCTCCCCCCTTTCCCCCAAGGATGAAATCCCATGTTGGGACACTAAAAAGATAAAAGGAATACTTCACTAAAGTCCTACTTTGATGCATTAAGAAGACCCTCAGGTTCCTGCAGCCTCTGCCAATACGGCACAAGCTCTAACAGGTCCTGCCAACGGAAAGGCTTTGATTGCAGACTCACTGAGGCAGTACATATGTTTGAAATCCAGGGATCATCTCCGCCCATTTTAGAGGCTCCACATCAGCCTGGCTTCAGTGATGAATATCAGTCGAAGCAAATCATAAAGGCTACATGTGACTGGCAAAAGTACCCATACAATCATCCCAAACCCACCCAAAGTTGGGAGACAGAAGGAACTAGAGTAATGGCTGAGTGGATAGGCAGGAAAAGGAAGTTATTTATTTTAATGTGTAATGGGGATGGAACTAATTGAAAAAACTGAAATGTTTGTAGGGCCCACCCCTCCTCCTGGGTTGTTTTTAGCCAATCTACAAAGCTGCAAATGAAGATATAAATGCAGATTTAGTATTAATACAAAGTTGTTTATTTTATAAAATTTAGTACAAACAATATATATATATATTTATATAAATCTTTCATGGGTAAAATATCATTACATAGTAATCCAAATGTAAATTAGTACTTCATTTTCATTCCACAGTACCACAGGTGAGTTAGCCGTTTCTGTACCTGTGATGGAAGATTCAAGCTTATTCCTTCAGCTGCTGAGTCATCTTCATTTCACATTTTCTCTTGGGGAGGCTGCTACACAAGTACCCAACCACAACACACAGGAGAGTTGCTACAAGGAATCCCTTTCCACTGCCAGCTGCCTAGGAGTTAACTCACCATTCCACAAACTAGTGAGCTTCTTTCTCAAGAGACACACAAATAGCAAGATTCCCCCATCCACTTGTCAGGGGGAAGGGGAAAGGAATGTGCTGTAATACCAGGAGCATTCGCTTGGCTACTACAGAGATTTCACTGTGCCAAAATCCAAAGGCCAGTTTTCTTTGGAGTCCATGTGCCAAGCCACACTCCTCACCATAAGCTTTTGCTGAAATCAGCATTCCTTAGATACCCAGATGGTGTTCAAGTGTAACTTACTAGCTTTCCATGGATATGGTGATACAAGTAGATGGAGATGATGGGTGTTAGGAGATTATTTCAATGCCCAGCAAGAAATGCTTCTCGAACCAAATAAGAGTAATGTCCTGTGCTTCTCACATAAGGACAATGCTATGGACCTGCCAATAATAGGAAAGATGAATTGTGTTGTTTTTTCCAAGATGATTCCCATGCCTGATTCCTTCTGTGACCAAAGGCATCCTTTTTTGTACCAACTGGATGAAGTCAGGGTTGTCTCTGGATGTGGGACAGAGTGAACTTCTTTAATCTGTATGGTGATTGCCTTTGACCTAAGTTTCAATAGCACTGTACTCTAACCAACCACTGATGTATCCAAATAAATAAATAGATGCCACTTCTGCCTTCTGTAAATATTTTTCATTACAGACATCCAAAATAGCTCACAATACCCTCGGTGAAACAGATGTTACCATCCTTACAGAGGGGCAAACTGCAGCAAGATCTTAACTGATCTTACAGGATCAGTCTCAAGAGATCATCTAATCTAACCCGCCCCCTCATTTTGTAGATAAGGAACCTGAACCCTAGAGAGCTTAAGTGACTTGCCCAAAGTCGCATGGGTAGTACATGACAGAGCAAGAATTTGAACCGGGTATTCTATATGGAGATCCAGTGCTTTTCCCGTTAGACCAAGTGATTCAACATCTCTATCATCCACCAAGTTACTGTCGGTGTTGGACATGGAAACCAGAAAACTGTGATTCCTGACCCCTTTCTCTGTTTGAGGGCAGGGGTCAGGCTTGATTTATATGGGGGCTATTGTTCTTTCAGGATTGGCTATATGATATGAATACTCACATCTTGTGGCATGTTTTTAACAACTAGAGGAGTAAAGGTATTATGAGGAGACAGAAAGTAATAGATGAGAGAGAAGAAAAATGCAGCCTCACTGCCCTGGGGCCAGCACAACAATTTACTCATCTTTGGTTGTCTTTTACAGTGCTTACAGTTGAGCTGAAACCTGAACTGCCATCTCTAGCCCAGTGGAATTCATATAGTAAATCCCCATGGAATCCAGTCACAGCCTCTCAAGCCCAAGAGATTAATATACTAAAAGCCCCTGAGAAGTGGAATACAGTTTTCTTGGTATAACAGAACCTGTTCAATAGGACCCTATAAATTTCTCTGCACTGCAGCTTGCCTAGAAGAGTCTGAAGCCTGTTAGCTATAGAATTGGTCTAGGTGAGACTGCAAGTGTGTGTGTTCCTTCCCCTATACCCCTCTGATCTTCAAGGATTATCTACTGTTAAGGCAGAGAGTAAGTTTGGTCTCCATAATCCATTACTGAAAATGCCAATGATGCTTCCACCAAATTCCCTCTATCAGTGGTGGCACAGACCAGGTGAGGAATGTAATTACATTAGGTAATAAATAGATGGAAGGAGTCACTCTTCTCATGGTAACAAGGGCAAAACAATTCACTTCAATGGCCTTTCCAAGCTGCCCAAAGACATGGGATCCCAGCAGAGCTTTCCACACAGTTCTGACTTGACTCAAGTCCTCAGATTTCCTGCAATGTAGTCTCAGTTGCTTCAAGTGTGCCAGTGCAAAAGTTAGTACTCAATACTGATATTTATGTTTGTGCTCTAGAACTGAATACATTCCCTGAACGAATTAAGCCCTTAAAAAAAAAAAAACTCTCCTAAGTTTGCTATGAGCATCCCATTCCACAATAGACAAACCCTCAACATGATTCCCAAGCCTACCCTTTCAAGAGGGTGAGGTGCCTATCTCTATTCATAGCAAGTTACAAGCCCTGGTTAATGCACTTTGAGATGTCCATTCTTTTTCAGTTGTCGGTCCTCGCCTCGCCCACTACGCCAAGCATGGTATTTCTTGACACTCTTCTTCCAGGCAAAGCGCCAAATGCTGAACATGAAACACCAGGACACAGCATACATAGCCACTCCACCGGCCTTCACAAACCATTTGGGCTTAGGTGAGGCCATTTCACAGAAAAGAAGCCATGCACCAACGCCGATCCTCACTCCTGTGAACAGAGCCACAAAGAGAAGATCTACCACATCCCCTGTGAAACTGTGGTAGCGCCCTGTCTCCCGGAGGAACCATCGAATCTGTAGCAATGGGTTAGTGATCTCACTGCCAAAGAGAACAGCATTGACCTCGGTGCCTGACTCCCCAAGAACAAGGGCCATGATGATGCCCAAGATACTCAGTGTGTGGTGAGCCAACATCAGAGCCCCCTCTGTCTGGAAGTAGACACACCAGCCAAGATCAAAGATGAAGTAGCCAAGGGTGAGACACAGAACATGTACTTGAAGAGGAGTATTGGGTAATCCTGAAATAAACCAAAAGAGGATGAAATTGAATGACAAACCAAGCTACCTTGCCCAGAGATCCAGAGCCATCGCCCAAATTTCTGTAACCTCAGTTGAAGCCAGAATAATGGCAAGTACAATTCTTTGTTACATTTAATCCATGCTTTCTGATAATAGATTAGCCTCTCGGGATAAGCTGTACACCAAATTATGTTTTTTAGAACCTAAGAGATTCATTTCCCATCAATTAGAACTGAACCAGGACACCTGGTGTTAAAGACAGAACTCTGAATTTGGAAACAGGAAGACCTGGGTTCAAGTCCTTCCTCAGATACTAACTGTGTAATACTGAGAAAGTCACTTAATCTCTCTGACCCTCAGTTTCCTCATCTGCAACACGGGGATAACAATGGTACCTTATTGTATTGAAGGCACTTTGCAAACTTTTCAGCACTGTATAAACTTAAGCTTTGAGAGCCAAAAAAGTCTATAAAAGATATCCTCATTAAGAAATCATGTAAAACCAATTCAGGTATGTAGTCATTTAGATTAAAATCTCCTGATTGCATTCCTCAGTCAAAGATGAATTTTCCCTCATATTCTCATTATATTCTTCCCTGGACATCAAATTTATTTCTCATCCTAATGTTTTAATAGAAAACAGATAGTAGTCCTGTTCCTATGCTCAAAGTAGATTACAGTCACTGCAGCATGTTACCAGTGTCCCTGGGCTGCTAGGTGGCAGACTGGATGGTGTGCTGGGCCTGGAGTCAGGAAGACTCTTCTTCCTGAGTTCAAATCTGGCCTCAAACACTTCTTTGCCGTATGACCCTGGGCAAGTCACTTTACCCGGTTTGCCTCATTTTCCTCATCTATAATAATGAGCTGGAGAAGGAAATGGCAAATCACTCTAGTATCTTTGCCAGGAAAACCCCAAATGAGGTCATAGAGAGTGTAACACAACTGAAAAACAACTGAACACACACACATATACCAGTATACCTGTGAAAAAGGGACTGCAGAACTAACATACTTAATACACATGAATATTTTTGAAGGTTGCTTTCTTCTAGGAATGAAAACTGGGGAATAAACTCAGGAGTTCAATAGGGAACTTTACAGAATCAATGGCTGAGAAATGTTAACCAGTGAGGAGGAGAAAAAAGCTTTTGTGAACTCTATTCTCGCCAATATCTACTCTGATGGGATACTTAGTGAAAAATATCTAAATAGCATGACATAGATTCCCCAGGGCCTGCTCAGGGCTGAGGCACTAGGAAATTGGGATTTCTGGCTAAGTACGTGAACAGAGAAAGCAATAAAAGTAAACAGTACAGGGGATAGATTAGTGTTTCAACAGTCATCCTAATGGGAATCATCTTTCAATGCTATACCAATTCTATAGAAAATTCCCTTTCTTCCAAGGCATCTCCCCAGACCATAAATCCCAAGGAAAAATTCCTGACACTCACCTGGGTGAGTAAAAGGCCAGGGACCATCAATAAATCCAATATAAGCAGAGAGGCCTATGGAAAGGACTCCATGTGTAAAGGTAACCAGTCTGCAGCTCCATTCATAGCTCCGATGCTTATTCAAGCGGCAGAAGGAGAGGTAAAGTGACAGCCAACCACACAGGCTGCACAGAACCTGCAGACACAAAGCAGCTGCCATCCTGTTGCAGAAAAACCAAAAACAGACACATCAAGGGGAACTCACCCTAAGACGGCAAGTCATGGTTTTTGTATGCATGCATCTTCATCTCCAATGCAGAGTGCTATAAAACCACAAACCCACAGGCACATAAGTAACTTGAACTCACCCTGACTCTTCTTCCTAACCTACATGGCCACAAATTTTCTATTCAAATATAGATGGAACTCCTCCTGACCACATCTTACCTCAAGATAGCATGCTCTAAAGTGAGCTGCAGAAAGGTCCTCAGGAGCCAGATTCTGTACTCAGTATATACCTGGCATGCTTTTATGCTCAATGACTATGAATGTCATCAGTTCTACTGTTGACTTACCCTGTGGCTTCCGGGAAGTCACTTTACTTCTCTCTGTATTAACTCCTCTATGGCAGAGCAGATTTAATAGCATACATGTGAAGAAAATGAGTTTGCATTTCAAAAACCTCAGTGAAATCTTTTTCCTGAGAGAAACTAGAAGAATTGCAACCACAAAACTCTGAACAATTGTGACTTGAGTGAAGCAGGTCTCTCATTTTTCTGCAGATTAATTCCTTCACATACATATACATATATGTACACATATATTTTCTTTATTCTCTATATACTTCTACATGTACATGTTGTCTCCCCAATAGACTACAGTATCCTTAAAAGCTACTATTGTTTTTGTCTTTGTATCTCCTGTACCCGGTACAATGCTTGACCCCATTTTGTTTGTTTGTTTTGTAGTAAGGGTGTTAAACTAGATTGCTTCCAAGGCCTCTTCTAGCTCTAAATCCTATAAGCCACTTGTGATGGTGTAATTCATCATCACACAAAGCTGCTCATCCCATTTTCAGATGACTGGGATTGTTAGAAAATGCTTCCTTTGTTATTATTGTCTAGTAGTTTTTCAGTCCTGCCCGACTCTTTTGTGATCCCATTTGGGGTTTTCTTGGCAAAGATACTAGGATGGTTTGCCATTTCCTTCCCCTGCTCATTTTACAGATAAGGAAACTGAAGCAAACATAGTTAAGTGACTTGGCCAGGGTCACACAGATAGTAAGTGTCTGAGACTGGATTTGATCTCAGGTGCTTAATAAATGCTTGCTGACTGAAGAACTGGTTGATTAAATGAGGCTTTTCACACGTGGCCAAAGTGTATACTAGCTTGTTACAGAAGGTTCTGGGATGGAAAGGGGAGAAAGAATATCACTAGGAAGTTTTATTTGTTTGTTTGTTTTAAGATTATCAACAAAACATGTTTTAAAAAAGGAATTGCTTTTGTTTGTTGTCACTGAGGGAAGTCACATGAGACCTGACAATTTTAATCTGACACCACACACATCCAAGGTTAGATTTCCAAGGTTAGGTTTTAAGCCACATGCTTATCAGGGCCTTGGAATAAAAATCAAAATGTAGGGACAACCTTAAATCAAGTTAGAGTAATAATTTCACAGATGTTCTGCAATGAAGAAAAGCAACAATCTAGCCAGAGTTGTAATCAATTCTGAATTCTATCCAAACCTTTATTAAAAGGGGAGAAAAAGGATAATAAAAGGAAGGAAGAAATTTTAGTTTTCCTGTGGAAGTAACTTAAAAAGTCATTTTTGGAAAAACTAAACAAAGACAGAAAGTTTCACTCAGGAATTTGCCCCAGTTGGGATTAGAAAAACTGTAGCTGGATGAATTTGTCATTCAAGATGAAACTATGCAAATAACTTCATTATTATTAACATTCATGAAGTGCTTCCCTATAAGTACAAACAAGTCCAAAAACATCTCATGTCTCCCTCTCATCTCAATGGGAATTTTCTGTACCATTATAAACAGTTTGTTAATTTCATTCTGACAGGTGGAATAGTGCCTATGACCCCCAGAATTACAATACAGCAGGATTCTTTTCCCCTTAACTCATAAACCACTCACCAAAATATATTCAAATAAAGACTTTGACCTGACCACATCCTATCACGCTTTCATCATTCAGATTTCATTCAAGGAGATGTGGTTTGATGTCTACAACACTTAAGGAGACAGTCAGTACACGTGGGTTCTAGTCTGCCACCAAAGGTTTAGATAGGATTTAAAGGTAGAAGAAACCTTTGAAGTCATCTAGTTCAAACCCTCTCATTTTACAGATAAGGAAACTGAGGCCCAGTGAGGTTAATCATATAGTTGAACTGTCTAATTTTTTACCTGAGAAAACAGACCCAGAAGGTTAAAGACTTGCCTAAAGCTGTGTACCTTCCTCATCTGGAAAATTAGGGAGTTGGACCAAATAATTAACCTCTCTTGGCTTCCTTACCTATAAATGAGGGGGTTGAATTAGGTGACATCAAGAGTACCTTTCAGGGGCAGCTAGGTGGCACAGTGGATAGAGCTCTGGCCTTAGAGTCAGGAGGACCTGAGTTCAAATCCGACCTCAGACACTTAACACTTACTAGCTGCATGACCCTGGGCAAGTCACTTAACCCCGATTGCGTCACCAAAAAAAAAAGTGAAAATATTTGGGGCAGCTAGATGGTGCAGTGGATAGAGCACCAGTCCTGAAGTCAGAAGGACCTGAGTTCAAATTCGGCCTCAGACCAAACACTTGACACTTACTAGCTGTGTGACCCTGGGCAAGTCACTTAACCCCAATTGCCTAAAAAAACCAAACAAACAAAAGAAAGTACCTTTCAGCTCTAAACTGTATGAACCCATCTCAAAGGTCCCTTATAGTTCTAACATGCTATACTTCTGGATAAAATCTGTAGGAAAACAGTCAATTTTCAGAAAACAGAATTAAAACAGTGTTTCAGGACACCTGTAATGAAAAGAAAGCAAGCACTCACCCATCCTCCCTCCTAAAGGTCAATAGCTAGTGCAAGGCGGATCAGCTTCTTTAGACACGCTCATAATACTTGGTATTTATAGAGCCATTTTCTTATTTGAGATCCTAATTCCCTGACAGCATGTACACACTAACCCACTTGCAAATACTAAGCCTAAATAAATAAATGGATAGCCAACTAAAGACAGGTTTGTCAATGAGAGATGCTCACCAACAGTCAAATTTGGGAGGGGAGTGTGGAGGGGCAAAATATAGCCCAACCCCACCCTCCCATCCCAATACAGATACTTTCTTCTTAAGCCTAAAGGCAGTCACTGAAGGCACCCGGGATCTCTTTTCACACTCTGACCTGCTCTTAAGTTTAAGAGGTCTAGGGAATCCAAGTCAGCCACTAATCACACCACCCAGGTGTGACTGACACTGACATTTTCAGTTAGGGAAGATCAAGGAAAGTAGGATCTGCTACTGACTTACCCTCCTGAGGGCTGGAATTTAGGCCAACAAACAGCACCCCAAGGAAGCGTTGGGCAGGAAGAAGAGCAGGATGACAGGCATAAGGTGTAGAGTTCAAGGATGGAGGTGCAGAGTGCTAGGACTGGGGTGAGACTGTTAGGTGGTGAAGGAATAGGGTGCTAGATTTAAAGTCAGGAGAACCTGAGTCTGAATCCTGCCTTGGATACTTATTTGTCTGAGTGACAAAAAGCAAATCACTTAACCTCTCTTGGCATCTGTTTTCCTCATCTATAAAATAGGGATAAAAATAGCACCAGAGTCCTTGTGAGGATCATATGTATGTATAAAGTGCTCTGCAAACCTCAAAGCACTCTATCAGTGTTAATTATGATGGTGTACACATCATATGCAGGGGCCAGAATTTTAGTGCGAGGAGTGGGTAAGTGCAGAGTGCAAGGCATAGGATGCAGAATTTTAGGAGCTAGGGTCGGAATTCCAGGAGAAGCATGAGAGGAATAGGAACAGAATGGGAGCAGGGGCAGGCGGAGAGGGCGGTGGCCTAGGATGGGGCCCGGGAGGGGAGAGCAGGAGAATGGGGACGGGGGAGCGGGCTGCCTCTCCCTCCCTCTTCCACTGACCGCAACCCGGGGCGCTCTGGTGTGCGGGGGAGTGGGGATTGGGGCGAGGATTCGCGCCGCGCGGGTACCTGCAGGTGAGAGCCGAGCGGGGCCGGGCAGGGGCGGGCGCGGAAGAGCAGCAAGGATGTCGCTGCTGCCGCCGCTATGGATGCTCTGGATGCTGCGGATGCTGCTGCGGATGCTGCGGATGCTGCTGCTGCTGCTGCTGCTGCTGCCGCGAGCGCCTGGGAGCCCGAGCGCTCAGGCCCGGATTCAGGCAACAGGAAACAGCGAGGCGGGCGATCGAGGAGGAGTTGGGGGTCTGGGGGCACCTGGTGGCGGGGAGGACAGAGCGCAGAGCCCGAGCCGGGCTGGAGGAGGAGGACCCCTAGGAGGGGGCCTGCGCGACCCCCAGCGTAGGCAGGGCGGAGCTTGGAGTGAAATCTGCCCCTGAGGGCTGAACGAACCAGAGCCTCCTTGTGCTTGATTTCCCAAGCTAGGCCAGCCTGGGCTCCGCGCCCCCTCTGCTTTGATGCGGTCCTGGGAAGGGTCCATGTAAATAGATCCTATATGCGCCCTCTGCCAACGTAGCCCATCCAACTACGTTTTCTTTGGCTCTGCTATTTCTGTGGATGTTCCCCCACGCTGAAAGGCAGGAGGCTGGGTTAGTTAGAGAACCACCCTTAGAAGCAGTTTGAAGTTAGCTTAAAGTCCTGCCTTTGAAACAGCCTGGCTGTGTGATTGGGGGCGAGTTAATCCACTTCTCAGTGCTCTAGGGTACACTTTCTAAGACTTAAGTTTCAAACAAGGTGCTATCTTTTCACATGAGTGTTCAGTATACCAGTGAAATAACAAGTTCGGTCCCTATCCTGTCTTCCCATAAATTCCCCGTTGAGGTTATTCCTTTGTTTCCTTGCTGATCTTAATAACATTAAATGGATAACCTTTAGATCAATATAGGAAAAAAAGTGTGTGCTTATTGTTGTTATGTTGTATAGATATCTGTAGATCTATATAAACATATAGATATATATAGATATCGATCTATAGAGATCTATCTATATAGATATAGACCTATAGATCCATGTAGATATCTTAAGATATTGTGTAT